TTTTTTAGTTAGAGTCTCACTCCATCACCTAGACTGGAGTGCAGTGGCACCCTCATGGCCACCCCAGCGATGACCTGCTGAACTCCAGCAATCCTTCTGCCTCAGCCTTTCAAGCAGCCGAAACTACAGGTGCGCACTATCACACCTGGCTATTTTTTTTATTTATTGTAGAGACAAGGTCTCACCATGTTGCCCAGGCTGGTCTCAAACCCTCGGGCTCAGGCAATCCTCTAGCTTCACCCTCCCAATGTGCTGGGATTACGGGCTTGAGCCACTGCACCCAGCCTGTTTCCTTTCTTTTCACTGATTTTTAAAAACAGTTTTATTGAGCTATAATTCACATACCTTACAATTCACCCATTTAAAGTGTACAATTCAATTTTTAATAAAATATGGTAAAATATGTGTTAAGTAATTTTTTTTTTAGTGGGAGTTTATTGTTTTGGACTGAGCTCCTGCACTAGGCCATAATAGACCAGCCCAAACCAGAATAGTCACTAGTGCTAGGTATCACTTAATCAAATGGAGAAAGGTGCCCAACCAGTCATAATGGAGTCAGTCAACTTGAGCTGGCAGGACAAAGGCATCTCCTCTGCTTTAATCCATACAAGGAAAGCAACCGGATCCAATCTGCTTTTTACACTGTGTGGTTTCCGTTTTCCAGAGAGGCTGCTTTACAAAAGCTTTTTACTTTACAGATGGGATGCTGCCTGATTCACGAATCGCTAGTAAAAGCCAATTCGATTTTTAAACTCAATTTGTTGAAATTCTGATCTTTGACATATATAACAAAATTTTCCATTTGTACTATTTTTAAGTATACAGTTATGTGGCATTAGTTACTTTCGCATTGTTTTGCAACAATCACCAGGGTCGGGGTGGGGGGTGTGGGGGGAGAGGATGAAGGTGGTGCTCGCCCGCTGTCCCCACTAGCAGTCGCTGCAGGACGGATAGGACCAGGGACTTGGGTCCAAATCTCAGTTTTTGCCTCAGAAACAGAAATAAAACACCGCCTTCTGTTTCTTTTTTCCCTAAAAAAAAAAAAAAAAGTATCAGAGAACAGGGTCACAGGACGCACCCAGCCACAGAGTCTGGGACTCTCCAGAGGCCGCTCGATTTGCGCAACGCGATCTCCGGCTCCGCGCAGCTGCAGAGACCATCGGAGCTTGCAGACCACAGAGGAGCAGGCCCTCCAGGTTTCCTAGAGCGGCCCGGAAGTGTCTCTCGGGGAGCTTCCGGGTAGAGCCCGGTTTCATGCGGCCGCTGCTCTCCCGTTCTGCCGTTGCGCTGCTCTGGATCGTTAGCGTCAGGTGCGGTTGGCTGCTCGGGCCGCGAGGGTAGGGCTGCTCAGGGCGTGAGTGAGATGGGGTCGCCCTCCCCTGGCAGGGAGAGGGCAGCAAACCAGGACACAGTCCCTTCGCCACCACATCAAGAGGCTCTGGACACTGAGGGAGTTTTCCGCGGGAGGAGCGCTTGCCAGGTTGAACGCGGGGTCGGCGGTCAGGCGCCGAGATTGACTCCGTGCACCGAGGCCCCAAAGTCCCGGGACGGATGGTGCCGCTCTCATTTTGGAGCCGAGCGAACGGAGTCGGGTGCAAACTTGGCTTGCTGAGACCTTCATGGTTGGAAGAGGAGCAGTGTGAAGGCGGTTCCTTGGGAGGCAGAGCCTTCCGGGAACAGGGCCAGTTGGAGTGGGCAGGAGCGCATGATTCTGGCGGGACCGTGGCGGGATTAGCAGTAGATGGTCGCTGATTGCCAGGGAGAATGGGCGATGAAGCCCTTGGAGAGCTCCTTGTACTTCTGGGGCCCCCTCAGCACTCCACACGCCTCGGGCCCGCTATGCTGTATTTCTGGGCCTGACAAGTCTCTTGGGCTGGAGCTGTGCTCTGCTGCGGTTGCTTGTGCGTTGAGATGGGCAGGGGCACATACCTACCACAGAGCTGGTGCATGTACTGTTGTGGTGTTCCTTCAAGTAATGTCACAGCCTCCTTCCTTCCTTCCTTCCTTCCTCCCTCCCTCCCTCTCTTTCTTTCTGTCTGTCTCACTCTCACAGCCACCCCAGCATTGGCCTGCTGGACCCTGGCGATCCTTCTGCCTCAGCCTTCCAAGTAGCCGGAACTACAGGCGCGCGCTAACACCCCCGGCTAATTTTTGATTTATTGTAGCAACTAGATCTCACCAAGTTGCCAGGACTGGTCTCCAACCCTCAGGCTCAGGCAATCCACTCGCCTCTGCCTCCCAAAGTGCTGGGATTACAGGCTGAGCCACCGAGCCTGGCCAGCCCTTGTCTTTAAATGGCTCACATATATCCATTGCTCAGTCCTTCATGCCTGGGGAGCAGGGGCTGTGTCTGGATCCCCATGTGCTGAGTTGGAAACAGTGGGGCTTTCTAAATACAGAGGTCTGGGTTCTACTCCTTGACTATGAGGTTGTGTTTGGAGCCTTTATTTCCTTATCTGTAAGGCAAGAATAGTGGGCTCTTGAAGAGCTATTGTGAGGATTCAGGAATAAGTAGTTAAGGGGTCTCAGTGTGGTCAGTGGCAGCAGCTGCTATGTTCCTATGTTCTCTGGGTCTTTCTCATAGTTCATTCTTCCTTCTGTTACTTATTTGGAGAACTCTCTCTCCTGTTTTGTGGTCCTCTTTCCTGTCCCGTTTCCCTGCCAACTCCAGCTTGAACTTTACGTCTCAGATGTCACTTTCTCTGGGAGGCCTCCCTTCTTCCTGGGACTAATGTGGGCCCTTCTGCCACCTGCTCTCAGGGTCATCTCCCCAGCCCCCATAACACTGAATATCATTGGTAGTTCACACTGTCAATGTCTTGACGATGGGGACCACATCAACCCTTACTCACTGGCCCACTGACATGGGAGTCACTGGTCTTCTCCTCTCCACCTGCCTCCAGGCATCTGCATCTGGGACCTCACTTCTGGGCTGGCTAATCAAGGAGGAGGAAGCAACAATGTCTGCTGTGGGGGCTGCAGCTCCTTACCTGCATCATCCTGGTGACAGTTCCAGTAGCCGGGTGAGTTTCCTGGGGGCCCAGCTCCCTCCAGAGGTGGCAGCAATGGCCCGGCTACTAGGAGACCTGGACAGGAGCACTTTCAGAAAGCTGCTGAAGCTTGTGGTTAGCAGCCTGCAGGGGGAGGACTGCCGAGAGGCTGTGCAGCGTCTTGGGGCCAGCACCAACCTGCCAGAGGAGCGGCTGGGTGCCCTTCTTGCGGGCATGTACACGCTGCTCCAGCAGGCCCTCCGGCTGCCCCCTACCAGCCTAAAGCCTGATGCCTTCAGGGATCAGCTCCAGGAGCTCTCCATCCCCCAAGATCTGGTTGGGGATTTGGCCAGCGTGGTGTTTGGGAGCCAGAGGCCCCTCCTTGACTCTGTGGCCCAGCAGCAGGGGGCCTGGCTGCCCCACATTGCTGACTTTCGGTGGCGGGTGGATGTGGCAATCTCTACCAGTGCCCTGGCCCGCTCCCTGCAGCCGAGCGTCCTGATGCAGCTGAAACTTTCGGATGGGTCAGCACACCGCTTCGAGGTCCCTACAGCCAAGTTCCAGGAGCTGCGGTACAGTGTGGCTCTGGTCCTAAAAGAGATGGCAGATCTGGAGAAGAGGTGTGAGCGCAAATTGCAGGACTGAACCCTTTCTTGTCCAGTCCCATTCGGGTCAGGCTTGGAAAGGTGCCTCAAATAGTACCAAAGCAGAGACGGTTCTTCCTAGAACAACCCTGCTCTTCCCATGAGATGGACTCTTCAGTGAGAGTTTTTGAATGAAATTATATAATTTTCTGTTTAATTTTTTAAAATGCTATACCTTTTTGCTTTTTTGGAAGTAAAACAAATATAAACAACATGTTTCTCTAGGGGATATTAAACTGCCCATCCTCCCCTTCCCTGGCCATTGGACCTTGTTGCTGGGTATGGCTATGTATGACTAGGTCGAGTTCTGGGGTCCAGGTCAAGGCCCTTTGCAGACACTGTTAGGTTACTCAGCTGGTTCCATGTAGCATCTGAGCTCCTTGCTTATATGCTTTTGTAAATTCTGTGTTTTGGGGTAGAGATTTTCATTCTTCTGTCTTAAATCCTTCATGGTGTTGACATTCGAGTGGGGTTTTGGGGGGGGGGTATCATTATAAGAGTTTTTTTTTAAAATCCGGAGTTGTACTCTGTCACTCAGGATGTAGAGCTATGGTGAGCTGTGATCACACCACTGGCTGTAGAGCAGTGGTGCGATCACAGCCACGAACTGCTGAGTTCAGGTGATACTTCAGCCTCAGCCTCCCAAGTAGCTGGTACTACAGGTGCGTGCCATGATGCCTGGCTAATTTTTAAAATTTTTTGTAGAGATAATGTCTCACCATGTTGCTTAGGCTGGTCTCGAACTCCTGGGCTCAAGCAGTCCTCCCACCTTGGCCTCCCAAAGTGCTGGGATTACAGGTGTGAGCCACTGTGCCCAGCCATGAAGATTGTTTTACAAGGACAACACTGGCTGCTGTACTGAGAGCAGCATATAGGGTTGCAAGGGAGCCCACAGGTTAGGAGCCCAGTGGGGAGGCTGTCATCAGAGTGGAGTTGGTGGCTGGGACCTCTCCTGGGTACCTCTAGGACAAGTGTATGCAGGGTCTGTAACCAGCTTTGCAGTCTCAGCATAACTGCTTCAGGTTTGCCTTGGGGTTCTTCTCTCTGCAGAGTCATTTATTGTCAGTCCTCAGATGGTGTCCCTCCCTCTCTGGGGCACTGCTATAGTCCAGGTCTGGTGTGTTCTCTGCTGGGGAACCCAGTCACAAGTCTCAAGGGATTAAGTAGGTCTGAGCTGCAAGAACTTCCTCTGAAAATAGTGATTAATGTGCTTTGGTGCCTGCTCTGGTATTGGCTGCTTTATCTTGGAACCTTGCACCTCTTCTCCCGGCCAGACTGTTGTCTGCACAGGCTATTTACAGAATGTTTGGGCTCCCACCATCTCAATTATTTAAGGCCTTTACCCTTTGAGTGAGAGCTGTGGCAAGTGAATTGTGGGCCAAGGAAAGGCAAAGGAATAGTCCACCCTTTGGGACGAGGTGGAGAGCTTCCCAGGGAGGCTGATGCAGGGTTTAGAGGTTGTACCTGAGGATGGGGCCAAAGCCTGGGTCCTCAGGCCCTGCTTCCTGGAGGATGGAAGCTGGAGTGGGCCATCCAGGCTGCTTCCAGGCCTGCCGTGGAGGAAGTGAGGAGACCCAGATTTGCAGAAAGGAAGCCTGCAAGGTGTGTACTGGTAAGGGAGGCTCTCTACATCACATCCTTATGTTTTCAACCATCAGCATGTTCAGAGATTCATGACACTTTAGGGAAAAATCAAGAAAAGAAAAAACAAAATTTATTTTTGTTTTTTATTTTATTTATTTATTTTTTGATTGGAGTCTCACTCTGTCACCCCTACTGGAGAGCAGTGTCACATTCACGGCCACTGCAGCCTCGACCTGCTGGGCTCAGGCAATCCTTCTGCCTCAGCCTTCCAAATAGCTGGAACCACAAGTGCATGTCACTATGCCTGGCTAGTTTATTTATTGTAGAGATGAGGTCTCACCAAGTTACCCAGACTGGTCTCGAAAAAAAAGTAAAAACAAAATTTAAAATTAAAATGTCGACCAGGCTCGGTGGCTCAGCCTGTAATCCCAGTACTTTGGGAGGCCAAGGTGAGTGGATTGCCTGAGCCCGTGGGTTCGAGACCCGCCTGGGCAACTTTGCGAGACCTCATCTCTACAATAAATCAAAAATTAGCTGGGTGTGGTAGTGCACGCCTGTAGTTCCAGCTACTTGGAAGGCTGAGGCGGAAGGATTGCCGGAGCCCAGGAGGTCGAGGCTGCAGTGGCCGGGAGCGGCCATTGCACTCCAGTCTGGGTGACAGAGTGAGACTCCAACTCAAAAAAAAAAATTAAATTAAATTAAAATGTCCCTTTGTCCACGGACAACTATGAAACATCTTGACCTCTTTTCAAACTTTATATTCATGCTTTATGTCTGTGTCATATGTTAACACAACTCTGTTCGTTTAACATTTTTCCTGTGTGACAGTCATGTTAATGGTTACAAAACAAACCTCCTAGTGGGTGTGCAATACATGACTTGACTTAACCATTCCCTTAGTGGGCTTCTGTACATGTTTTTCTTTTCTTTTTGTTTTTTTTGGGTTTTTTGCTATTAGCTGGGTGCAGGGATACGTGCAATTCCTACACTTTGAAGGCTGAGGCAAGCGGATTGCTTTAGACCAAGAGTTCAATATCAACATGAGCAACATAGCAAAACCTTGTTTCTACAGAAAATTAGCCTGGGTGTGGTGGTATGTGCCTGTAATCCCAGCTACTCGGGAGGCAGAAGGATTGCCTAAGCCCAGGAGGTCGGGGCTACGGTGAGCTGTGATCATACCAGTGTATTCCTGCCTGGGTAACAGAGTGAGATCCAACTCAAAAAACATCATAGTGATGTTAGTGGTCAAAACAATCTCTGCGAAAACTTCAGGAGGGGAACAGGAGGTAGTGTGAACATTTTAAAGCCTGTATTAGTGTTGAACTTTCATTCCTCAGTAGGTCTTTTTTTCCTTTTCCCTTTCCCTTCCCTTTTTTTTTTGTAGAGACGAAGTCTCATTATGTTACCTAGGCTAGTCTGGAATTCCTGAGCTCAAGCAGTCCTCCCATCTCTGCCTACCAAAGTGTTTGGATTACAGGCAGGAGCCACCATGCCCAGCCAACCTCAGTAGGTAGTTTTTTGTTTTTTGGTTTTTTTTTGAGTCAGTCTCTCACTCTGTTGCCCAGGCTGGAGTACAGTGGCACGCTCTCATGGCCACCCCAGCATCAACCTGCTGGGCTCAGGCGATCCTTCCATCTCAACCTTCCAAGTAGCCACAACTACAGATGCATGCTACCATGCCCTGCTAATTTTTTGATACACTGTAGAGACGAGGTCTCGACCAAGTTGCCCAGGCTGGTCTCAAACAGCCTTGGGCTCAGGCAGTCTTCGAGCCTTGGCCTCCCAAAGTGCTGGGATTACAGGCTTGAGCCACTCTGCCCTGCCAGTAGGTATTTCTTTTCTTTTTTTTTTTTTTTTTTTTTTTT